CTCAATTTCTGCAAATCCAAAATAAAATTCAGCTACATGCCTGATCCTGAAGTTTATAGAAAGTGAGAGAACACATTACAAAAACTAGAAAAGGGGTTTAATAGCAGGCTCATGGTTCATCTTGTTGGAGGMAAAATTACTGAAGGTTTTAGTGTGACAGTGCCTAAGAACCTAAGTTCGAACAAGTACAACAGATTCCGAATTTCGAACAAGAACAAGAAGTCAAATTTCAAACAAGAAAAAGCAACAATTGTTTAAGAGGGAGAATACATTTATCATACCGATGTGAAAGTTGGACAACATTCGAAATAGAACTTCAATTCTGCAACATGCTTGAGAACAATTGTTGGTGGAATCGTGGCAAGGATTGAATCGTTCGTGATTTAGGGTTTAGGTCGTTTTTTCCTTTGTTGGTTTTGTTCATTCAAGTGAATATTGAGTCTTGACTTTGAGTTTAATGAATTGATTGAGCTCCCGCTTCTAGATAATATTATATCATTGATAATTAATTTAAAAAAGTTGAAATTAAAAAACCCAAAAAGCCCCATTATGCCATAACGCGCCTTGAACTGTAACACGTCTTGTGCCGTAATGCGCCATAACTCAAGCTACGCCTCAGAGTCGTGCCATGGGCTAAAACGTGGCGGCGAGGCCACGCCTCGACGTTATGGCGCGGCATAATGCCACCATAACTTTTTTTTTAGAGCCTTGATAATTACTCATGTTTATYTTTCTCTGTAAATGAATTTTCTCTTACTCCTTTATAAAGACATGCAACTTTTAGTCATTTACATGGTATCAAAGCCAAGGCTCTAGTATTCAAAGACCTTAATGTCCCATATATCTAACAAAAGGGAAGAGATTTTTTTTTTGGAAAATCTCCATCCAAAATTATCCGCATCAAGTTTGATGATTCTTTGATGAATTTCAWTCTTATGCCTTTCTGAACTTTTGCTCTATTCTTGTAATGCATTTCTTATATCAAACAATATAATTATAATTAAGAAGAAAAGAAGAGCTTTATCTTTTATTATAGCATKGTATTTCAAAGATATTGCAAATAATGCCTAATGACAAAAGCTTTTGATATCACCCTTATACCAAACCAAACGACTTGGTATATCCTACTYGGAAATAGTTTTGGAGGGGCAAGATGTATGTGAACCTTTTGTTAGGTCATTGACCAACATTTTCTTAAATCAAAACRTGGCGCTGACTGCTACGCTATAAGGAAATAAGTTGCTCCTTCTCCATCAGCAATTGCTTTTGGCGTAGTGGTAAGCGCTTGGATCCTAACATGTGGTATCAGAGCAGTGTGTTCGAATATGTGAGGTGCATAATAATGCTAAAGGCATGTTGCGCAACCATTATCTTCTAGCGAAGATCTTGTTAGTGCTGGTAGATGCTGGGGGGAGATTGTTAGGTCATTGACTAGCATCTTCCTTAATCGAAATGTGGCGCTGATTGCTAAGCTATAAGGAAATAAGTTGCGCCTTCTCCATCAGCAATTGCTTTTGGCGTAGTGGTAAGGCTTGGATCCTAACACCTTTCCTTAATCGTCCAACACTCAAACCTATACGACATAGCTTGTCTAATAGTGACCCTATAGATTTTACCTTTCAGTTTTAATGGACCTTAATGTTAACACACTTGCAGCCAACCGTCCGTTTTAACCAATGTGCCTCTATTTTTAGCCGACCTCCCATTCAAAGTTGTTAAAGGCTCAAGGCGCACTTAGGCGCAATGGGGTCCCGGGCCTAGGCACGAGGAGCAGGCGTGAGGCGCGGCCCTCATGAATGCGAGGAGCATCTTATCAATATATATACATACTCACACTCACACTCACACTCACACTCACACACTCACACTCACACTCACACTCACACTCACACTCACACTCACACTCACACACCAAGTCTCCAATGCAGCAAACAACAATACTTCGATAGAGGCAGAAGGGTTTAAAGCGTGAGCCGTGAATGAAAAGTTTTAACGACTGGGTATTTATAGAGAACGAGGCTTGAAGTTCTAAGGATTTAGTATTTAGTATTAGAAYTTGACTTATGTCATCTATTTAATAACAACTATGCTCCCACAGTTTCGTGGTGTGCCTAAGATCTATATCCATGACATGATGCTCAATTGGTTCTYTACTCTCCATGGTTGGTTTTTCATATCACTCTTATCCTTGTCATTTCTAAGCTAATAGATAGAGAAAAATTGYATGGCATAAAGGTTGAGATTATTTCCATGATCTTATTAGACCCTACCATAAATGTGCCAAGCATCTTTCTCTTAAATACTAAAGTTTTGGTCTGGCCTATTCTATAACCGTCCCAAATAGTTGGTGAAACATGTATGTTATTGTAGTGTACTCGGCTTCGGGAATGACATTTATGCTTGAAGATAAGAAAACCTTGATCCTAWTTTGGAATTATAATTTATCGTTGCTTGCACTACATAAGTACCAACTTATCGTTGCACGTGCTAAATCGTGTTGAATCACTTACTACTATAAGCCTGAAGATGATACATGATACATATATTTAAAGGAAGATCAATTAATTTTGAATCATGTAAACTCTTGATACTTGTCACCAAGATAGTTTGATTCTTAGAATATCGAACTAATCTATCTGCCTCTTTTTTTTATATTTTAACGTGGACTCTAGTTCTTCACTTAGAATTTATATGACTTGCTACATTGGTTCAGATTTGTACAGAAATTAGACCAGCTAGAGATGAGGAACTTCCAACTCCCTACATAGAAGATTATCGGTAACTTTCTTGTCTAGATTTCTTAAATATTAGTTATATGCATTTTCTCAAATATTATGTATGTATTAGGTAATTGACTTATAAATGTTCAACAACCTTTGATGTTGTCAATCAACTTAATCTACATGATGTTAGCACTTATCGRTGAACTAATACCTTCTCATTGTGCTGCAAATATGTAATGGTAATCATTATAGGTTGTAAAATTAGTAGAGTGCACTCTTACAAGTTGTTATTCAGTATATTTATTCTCTGAAGAAATGGGTGTTAGTGGGTTGGTATTTGAAATGTATATGGTCTCATCATTAATGATATTAGGGTTTTTTTTTATGTTGATGTAAACTACTAAAATTAGATTAATAAGAGCACTTTCATTTGTTATTTGGTGGCAGAGGTAATGTTTTTGGTGAAGTCCGGAGATTGGAAGGTTGWCTAACTATTATTTCTCATAATTGAGTATCAATAAGGAAAGTTATCACTTTCGAATGTGCGTACAAACTATCGGTTTGATAGGCTATCTCTCAAGTGTGATAGGAATTGATGAAAAAGATGGCAAAAGAGTATATAGGGTGTAGAGGGAGATGCATATCTCTTTACCAAATCTCCCCCAAAACGAAGGGCTCTCAATCCAATGTTA